GTTTAAATGGGCCGTGCAGGAAGAGTACAAGAAGGGTTGACTGAATCATGAATATGAAGGATTTTTTTAGGTCCCATGACTTTGTCCAGCATGATCTAAAGTGTAATAGTGCTGGATTAAGGTGAAAGGTCATTATGATGTTTAAATTTGGGAAAACCGTCCCTTAGTTGTAATAGCCTAATAGGTGTAATGGGCACACCTAGTAGTTGTTCCTAGTAATTTGTGTTATTATGACACATAATAATATTATTATAAACAGTTGTGGAAAGCGACTCAAACATCAAGTAAAGTAAAATGTTGTTGCTGTTCATTTTAAGGCACTTATTTACCACGAGACTGCAGGGGGGAAATTACTTAACTATTTATTATATATTATATATTTATTATTTATTTTACAGCTATAGTTACTTGCTACAATACATATTAAGTTTTTTACATACCATATATTAGCTTTTGATCTAATAAAGTACAAATAAATTCAAATGGGCTCCACCTCGACAACATCTTTGACTCTTTAAGTATCAAAAGTATGATGCTACTTATACTTCTGTACTTTTTTACCTTTACTTTTTTACTTTTGCCTTTCATTTGTAATTGTGTTGCTACTTTAAACTGAAGAAGAGGGATGCCAGATACTTTTCTAGCACCTTCCTCCACTGGCAAAGTGTCTCTTACTGGGTGCAGTAACCTCTGTGGCCACAGGGAGGCCTCAGTCTGCACCGCACAAGTCTTTCATATCTATGGGCTGCACTCCTGACGCAGAGCATGATGGAGCAAACTGGCGAGCCACCCCATAACAACAACAACCCGACTGGAAATGAACCTCCTGCCTGCGGCCTCCACAGTAAACGCCTGAAAGAGCTGGAGAATGCCGCCCTGCAGACCACTTTAATATCACGGATGGAGACGGAATCCGGTGCGGACGCCGGGAGCTGCACGGAGCAGCAGTCCGGGGAGGGCGAGCAGTCGAACGGCTTGTCCTTGAACCACCGGTCGGCCCCTCCGCAGCTCAGCGCGGACACCGAGGCGGAAGAAGCGGAGTCGGATAGAAATGTGGCCAAGGAGCGAGTGGAAGAGGAAAGGACCCTGACGGACCATTTAAACAAACGCTTGCTCTCCTCGTTTCTGGAGAAGCTTAACGAAAGGGACCTGGCGCTGCCCGGTGTCCAGCGCCTGGACTGCGCTGTAGCGGACGAGGACTCTAACAGGGCCGCGGATGAGTGGTGAAGCACCGGGCTGGAGAAGAGCAGCAGCGGCCGGCAACATGGAGGTGGTTGTGAGGGATTCAGGACCAATGTGCACGGAAGCACAATCCCACAACATTAAAGACAGACCTGCAGTTAGGCCTACCGATTTATTCTGGAAGAGAAGAGTGTCTGAACGCGTTATGAGCTTACTTTTTGTATGGAGAGAATGAGTGAAAGATGAAGAAAAATGCAATAAATGATCATCATGTTCATGTGAAGTTCCTTTTGTACTCATTGGTTTCGTGTGTCTGGCAGCCATAACGCATGTGTTGGCAGCCATGTGTGTACGGATGGATTTTCAAGTGGCATTCAGTCATCAGCAGGTGTCAGTGTACACCAAGATATACTTTAATACAGCATAACACCATTATTAATGGGAGGATTTAATCACACGTTTTCTTATGCTCAAGTCTAATTTTTTAAGGGTCTTAAAATTATAATTTAATTTGAGTAACTGAATCAGTGTCCTGCATGCTCCAGTACAGGTTATTTTCCTAATAATGTGACACAAGATAAATAAAACTTACTTTTACTTTATTTAAGGCTATTTTAAAAATGATTTTAATAACTGCTTGAGCATAAAATACATACACACACATATATATGTATATATATATATCACTCCTAAATAAGTGATGGTCTCATATGTCTATCTTTTCATCATGATGAAGATTTATTACAAGACAAAAAGTAAAAAAGACCAAGCAAATAAAATACGAACAATAGGCCATTTCAATTGAAACATATATTTAAGTTAAAGCAGAAATTAAATACTAGCTGGATAATATACTCATTAAAGTATCACCACAAGAAGAAGCTATATATTTCCATTAATAAAACTGCATCTTTTTGCAAAACTATTCTTAGTTTGACGCACACAGTATATAATGCATTTTGGGTCTTAGGTACCACATGTACAAGAAAATATACAAAAAACATTTTAGATCCACAAAAACATTAAAGCTACATGATATAACACTGGAATGTGAGTGCTGCAGAAGCAACCGTAAAGCTGTTGTCAAATATGATGAGTACGTTAGAGTCAAATCGACATGACTTTATGTAGGGAAACTGGAATTTGGGACGTAACTCTTGAAGCTTCTGCAACTTTGTCCTCAGACAAGAAACGCATTGTAATACACAGATTCCAGATTCATAAAACTGGATCCTCTCCCTCTGATAATAAACCTGAACCAACTGAGCCTCCACGGGCCTTTGAAGAGCCAGAAAGTGATGTTTTGACATTTTTAATTTATTACATTGACAGGTAATTTCCAGCTACACTGGAGGGGGTTTAAGCATGCATGTAGTCACAGACAGCGAAACTTGTAATGTGGAATATATTTTATTCATTGTTGTTGTAAAATATGTGCATATAAAGCTTGTTCTATGAAACCGAAGACATTTGTTTCAACTGTGACAACAAGCAGCAATAATTGGATTAATGCTAAAACATAAACAAAACTGCACAAGTAGTGAAGAGAGTTAAAGACATTTTAGTGCACTGGGGGTGTTTTATATGAATATTTCTCCATTAAAGCTAAGGCACAACCAGTGGCTTATCAGATACAAACAGTAGCAAACAGAGTCATACTTAAGGAAACCTTTTTTTATCCACAAAGTACCGTGAATAAAGTATTCACAACAGGAGATGTCTTTCATGTTTCTTCATTCCATTCACTGCAGAATATAGCAGAGGTTGTTCACATATAATGCCGCTATTTATAGTGAATTGGGTTATATATAGACAGTGATGGTGCTGCTTTCTGCTTATCTTTATGTAACAGGTCTCTACTGATGCCGGCTGTGTGTGATGACTTCTGAACTTTTGTGGCTGTAAATGCTTCTGATATCTTTACGATGTCTCCCGCACTTCATATTTATGTGGAAAGTCATAACTGGCAAGGAGATCTCCCATTCATTGGAGTCGTAGCCAATAAGACGAAGAGAGTCAAACCACTTTTTTGTCAACAAATACTCCCTTTACTGTCCATTTAAGAGGAAGCTTAAGGTAACGAGATGATAAGACATGAACTCAGAGTGAAGAAACAGTGGGAAAGGTTGAGTTACTGTTAATGCGTATACACACAAAGCCCAGACACTGCCTGTCACATATCTATTAACACTGTTTGAAGTGCAGGTGTGCAGTGCTACAGATATGGGACATACCAGAATGAATGTCCTGATGAAAGAGCCTTTCAACATTAAAATATTTTTTTTTTTAAACATCGGAGGGTATTTGATTACAGTCTATATGTTCTTTGGCACAATTATAAAGGCCTACAATCACATTTTTAAGAAATATATTTCTTAAAAAGCCTCTTGTTTCACCTAAACTTAGCTCCAAATGTGGGGCAGACTTAGGATATACAAAGAGACAAAAAGTTGAATTGACCAGGAAAAAGACGAGTATTAAAAAGGTTTCTGCCAATAGAGAGTAAATGTCACTATCATCAGTGCTATTTGAGATTACAAAAAACGTTTAGTTGTCCAACACCTAAACTCTGAGAGGTGATTTAATGTTCCCAGCATCTGTTGGTTCTTCTTCTTTTTCATTTGCATCTTCCCTATGCAGTTCCCTCAAAGGCACGAGCTGTGGTTTATCTGTCATCTTGTCTCCCTGCAAAAAAAGACCAAGATTCTGGTTTTAACACAATAAAAAAAAAAAAAAAAAAGGAAACACACATACTGAACTATGATAGCCAGGTGTGCACTCTCAGAACACAATTATGATTAAAAAATATTAAGTTTGATCAGCAGTGAGACTGTAGTAGTTTTGGGGTAAAGGCTTCAAGGGCTGATGTAGATGTAATGCTACAAACACATAGTATCTCTGCCGCACCTTACGTTACATTCATTATGTTTCCAGTTGAAAAAAAATCACACGTCAAGCTCCAAATGCTGATCAAAAGTGGGACTCACTTGAAAAATATATGTTGTTTTGACAGATAATGATTTATTCAGTAATTTCCTTACCTGATTATTGCTATTCAGGCTCATGTGTGCATCCCAGCATGCATTGTGCCGAAAGCAGGTAAACATCCTGGGCATTGTTCCAGTCTTAAAACAAGTCACACAGTCACAGTCAACACATTTGTACATGCAGTGTCAATACAAATCTGCTCCAAAATGATCTATTACCAATAATAAAGGGGTTAGAGTCATAGTTGGGACAAATTTAAAAACTGAGTTATAATATTTTAGAAAAAAAACAGTGAGAATGCGAAGATGTGGAAGAAAAAAAGAGCACCAGGTAGAAATCTGCCATAAGTCTAATGTGTTAACAAGCCCAAGATAATTGCCTTTATTTATTAAGATGTTTGGTTCATCCTGTTCTACTTTGTTACATTTCTATACTCTGTAGGCACATCTACACACATAAAACAAGAGGCACCAAAGTCATAAGCTTGTGTTATGGTACTTACTCTGCGCTCTGATGGGACCTCTACTTGTTTTTTGTTCAGATCCCACCATAACAAACCCTCTTTAATATGACTCCTCTTTGTTGGTCCTGTGTGCAGACAGAAGCAAGATAATATGTTCAGTGTTTAATGCAAAGTAATGTAATAAATCACCACCGACTTGAATCACACCTTTCTAATACAGTATCATAAAAAACTGAACATTACAAGGTTATATTGCACGACAATTACGCTGGATTGCCTTGAGTGCAGGTTGTATGTAAAATACTGGCTACTCAGTGTAGTTTATTGGTTTAAATTAAAACAGCGGTTCTGCATAATGTGTCATCATGTGTCAGCAGCTTGTGTCTTTATCTTCTTACCTGTAGCATAGCTCACTATCAGCCCAACTAGCACGACCGAACTAGTCGCCATGGCACCAAAGTAGAGGTAGGACATGGAGTAGAAGTTAAGCAGGCCCCTAGTTTTAGAAAAGTCAGGGTTCATTAAAGTATGTTTTCATGTATCTAGTTCTTTATTTTATCTTCAATCTATAAAGTTACAGCAATCACAAAATCCAGGCTAAATTTCACACACACACGCTTTTAACTTGTATTAGTTTTAGAATTATGGGTATTGATCTCCATCCTCAACCAATGTAAACCACATAGCTAATAAAGCAGTTGCATATTAGTTCAGGCCTTGTTGAACTCACTGACCCCTGGTTATTGGGGCGAAGCAGTGTGGAGATGGAGTGTTCGTCTTGGTTAGGGCTGCTGTTCAGGGTGACGTTGTTGGATCCACACTCGCCTGCAAAGCTTGGCAGGACACCCATGGTCTCCTCACTAGGCGGGTAAAGGGTTGAACCGACTGCCAGCCACAGAGAGACACAGAAGCCCACTAATATTCCTGAGAACGCCCCCTGAAAGACCAAGTACAAGTGTTAGCAGAAGACGTGAGGATGCAACACATCAGTTGGTCTTCAACTTGTCAGTGCAAGTTGTTTGAGGTGGGATTTTCCAGAAATAGATACATATTAGCTCTGAAAATAGCGTAACGTTTTTTTAAAAGAGCTTTGTTGCAAAATGAGACTTCACATTTGGAAAAAAATTGAAAATGATGTTCTTATTTAATGATCGACCTACTATCAAAGTCAAAAATAACACAACCAACATATAATTATACAAGTCACTAACACCAAAGAATCAATAAAATGACTTCTTGAGAACACAGATTGCTGAGGAAAGTTTGATTTCCAGATAAACGGTCTGGTTAACAGGACAATAGAAAGTGGCTAAAAAAAAGCTCTGAAAGTTGTCTTAAGGAGGTGTTTTGTTGGCTTTTAGACAGTGACGTTCTTAAATCAGGATATTAACAGTAAATGCAGATTCAACAATGGATACTATGACTAACATGGAAAGTACAAAGCTTCCTTAATAAATAGAAGCACTGGCGTTCTTACACAAAGTGTTCATAATGAAAGAGATATGATGTGGTAATAACACAAAGTGGAGGAATTTACGTAAATGCATTTAAACAAATCCATGTCTTAGGAGGAGGAAATCATTTAAACTTTTGTAAAATAAGTAAAGCATATTAACTTTTTGTTAAAGCGTTCTAGTTAGTTTCTTCCATTTCTGACTTTACTTTATCAAAATCAATGCTGATAGCATTTTTTATTTTATTTATGCAAAATATACCACACTGTAATATCACTATTACAAGCTGAATCACATCTCTCTCATCATCAACAATAGAATATACAAGCTTTTATTGCACGACAATTGTGGCAAATCAGTGTAGTTTATTGTGCTGAATTAAAACTGCAGTTCGGAGTGATCATGTGTCATCGTGTGTCAGCAGTTTTCATTTGTGTCTTCAGTCTTTTTTATCTTCTTACCTGTTGCATAACTACCAGCCCAGCTTCCACGGCCAAATGTTTCAAAAGCTATATCATAGCTACATCAGTATTTTAAGTATTTTAAGTGTGCTAGAAGAGTGGTGGTGTGTCTTAATTTTTATTTAAAGCTAAAGCTCTGGAAGAAAGAATCATATAAGATTCTTATAGAAGATTTCTGTGATATATAATGAGAGAAGCTGTGCGTCTTTGATCTAACAGACCTTATTACTGGCTTTGAGGATTTAAAGTAGGTCCATTATTAAATTTCTATATAGGTTTTCTTGAATCAACACAAATGAAGTCACTCACCAGCCTGTTTGCTGCTGGGACAAACATCCCCAAAATGAATACGCCCAGTAATGGACCACTGACCACACCCATGACGGTGAACGACCCCTGAATAGAGAAGACAAAGGGATTTCTGGAAAGGCAACCAAACACAGCACTCAGACTTGATATACAGAATACTAAGTGAATCTTATGATGTAGCTCAGTCTGCTCAGAGGTCAGATAATTAAATAGATGACATTAACCAGAGAGAGTTTCAACTCTTACTATTTCTTGCTTTGGTTTGTGCAAGATTGAGACAGAATTTGCTATTATAGTCATATAACTTCTATTCAAATTTTTGATTAATTGTAAAAATTCCAATTTAAATAACAGTAAAGTAAAAGTAAAAACATATAGTAATCACTATTGGTTGTATGAGGCTTACCTGATTGTTACAAATAACAATTAAACACTTTATTATATGTTTAAATATTTGATCATTACATACAGGTTGTTGCAAGGCTGCACATTGTGTTCCATTTAAAGCTGTTTTAAAGCTCGATTTTTTTGTTTACAAATGACTGGAGGTTGGATGATGGATTAAATATCATGTGATATTGTAATAATTAGGCATTGTACCTGAAGAACTCCCCAGTCCAACAGGGAGGAGAGAGCAGCTACGGTGATACAACTAACTCCGTACAGCAACGCTTAAATGAAAAAGAGAATAAATACTACAGAATGAAAACAACTTAGTTAAGTGGACATTTTCAGTGAAATCAACCTACACAGTCCTTTGGAAACCAAGATCAGTTTCTTCTGGGTCATGTGGAGCAGATGAGGTCGCAGCAGATCCTCCATTGTTACTGCAGCCATTGCATTGATACTTGTGGAGGCCGTGCTGTGAAAAAAGCATGTGGTCACTAGTTATCAGCAGTTCACTGGCCATGTTAACACACTATTCATATTATTTTACTTTATTAAGGTGAGATAAAAACCATCACAAAGGGGAGATGTCTTTAAGGTGGAACTGCTAATAATTCATAGACATCTGAAACACGATAAAGGGCCCCAAACATACACTGCTTTTATGCACAAAGTCACAAGCCAGAATGGTTTAATCTGAAAAGTAAGTTGTTGTACAGCACTTAATAAACAGTGAAGTACTCAGTAAATCTTTCCACCACTGTGGAAAGCTTAGAGAAACCAAGATTGAAATACCTGAGAGTCCCACTGTACGCACAGGCAAGGAAAAGACCTGGGAAGCCAGGGTGACTTTTGAATATGTCCAACACAAAGTAAGGCATGTACTTCATCAGACGAGAGGGAGAGGGAGAAATAGTGGAAAAGTAAATAAATTATTTCCAATTGTCTTGACTTTTGTATCCTGTTAATAATCTATAAAATATACTTTCAGCACTGTTTGACTTTAGTGTGCATTAGTGTGTAAACAGCTAAAGAAAACATTTGAGGTATAAGTAATGTTTATAAGAAAACATTCAACAACTTCAAACTAAGGATGATGGATGGAGTATTTGGCAAAACAAATTTTAGACATACACATGTTCTTTCAGTCTGTACAATGGAATACATGGGAGAGGACTAACAACCCTGAGAATAGAAATTCAGTAAAAACATAATGGCACCAGCTTTCAAAATCCAGTATCATTTGAAGCCTGTTGAAGCCATGTACACTGGAATAAATGCACAAAAATACAACAATATTATAGGTACAATAGTATAGATATGGATCCATTTCCATAAACTCAGATACCATTGGATCTTTCCGTATACCGGTCATTATTGTCCAGTGTACACAGTGCCATGCTCTTGTAATGGATCAATATCAGTATTTATTCTGGAGGGTCTTGAGTACCAGATCAGGGGCAGAAATCCTCCCAGACTTCAGCGGATCACAGTAGATGTAATAAGCAAACATGACGATGCCGCAGGTTGCTGCACTGCTCACAATCAGGCACAGACCCACTTGGTTCACAAACAGCGCCCTGCAATCAAACGCAAACAGTATTAGTGCCCTAGGTTTTTTGTTGGCTTTCTGCATTTTCATTATTTGCTTATTTAACAGGTAACAGGCTGAGGGAAAAATGCAACCTCAGATTTTCCTGATGATGGTTCTGATATTATGAAATCTATAATTTTAAGTCATTTGGTGAAACCCGAAAGGCTGTTGTATCCTTTTAATGTCATTTGTGAGAAATGAGATGGGTTAGGCTTGACTGCCAACATAAAGAGTTGTCAGCTTTAACATGTTCATGAACTCGTTCATTTACAAAGTCAAAATAGAAGGAGTGGTGACTTATATCCTTTCAAAATATTCACATTTATTCCAATCATGTCCTTCCTCAGAAGTCAGCAGTACAAGAAATATCTTACAGGGGAATGTCATCATAAAAGTGTCAGAAAATATATTGAAAATAAGATATCTGATGATTCAATTCAGAGCCACAATGTCTGATGATATGAAATATCTATTGAATATAACTAACCCTTATCTAAACAGTCAACAAAACTATTGCATTTCACTTTGTGTCTAAAATCCCAGAATCCAAAGCAGACAATTTACACATGCAATAAAGTCTTTTCACCTCCAGGAAATAAGAAATAATGTCTGAAACATGCTGATATGTGGATACCTGTGTAAATGATAAAACTCTGTTCTTAAGCCTTGGCAATAAAATATTCTACCTTCTATCCAAACACATTGGTTTCTGTTGGTGTAAGGTGTTTAGTAAGTTTGTGTTTAGTCCAATTCTACCTCCCAGACCACAAGAATAAATTATATTTACATGTATTACTAACATATTATGTAAAATCAAAGCAGCTGTCATCACCTACAGTAATTTGTTAGCTCAGCTGCTTGATCATGCCGTTTAATGGGAGGATAGCAACATCTGTATTTGCAAAACTTGACATTCACATATCATAAAAAAAACATGTACCGAGGCAATGTAATACACTATTATTATAGTTACAACTCACTGGTGAATAGCCACAGATACTCATTACCATTAAACTATGCTAACTGCTCTGTGTTAGCTGAATGCTAACATCAGTATACTAACATGCTCACAATGACAATGTTAACATGCTGATAATAAGCAGGTATAATGTTTAATATGCTCACCATCTTACTATATCATTTGCAAATTAGCACTAAATGCAAAGTATAGCTCAGGGTTAATCGAATGGAAAATGGGTTTTATGTTTAGCCCGAATTTACAGACAGTGCAGGGGAAAAAGTAAAGATGAAACAAGAATACAAGAATAAAAATATATAGAACCAAATGCATGCACTGAAAAGCAACAAAGTGGTTTGGCACATTGGATGCTGTTTTGAGACAGTGGCTGGCTTGTGTTGGCCCCAGCAGAGCCCTTTGTGTGCTCGGCTCGCTTGATGTCTTGGCCTCTTCTCAGGTGCAATTAATTTGTGGTGAGCCAAACACCAAGCCTTAAAATATCTCTTTAGAAACCTGTAGGCGATGCTTTTTGCTTTCCTTTAATCTATAAAATCAACCTAAATTCAATTCACAAAAATGTATTAGTTGCCGTTCTAGACACCTGATACATAGATCTTCAAGTGCTAGATTAATCTCAACTCACCACTGGGCCTCTCTTTCCGTTCTGCAGGAGATGTAGCGCTGGACTTGAGCTTGGTTTACTCCGTACATGGAAAGCCAAACAAATGCACCCCCAACAGACAGGCTCCAGAAGGTATAGCGCTGCCGAGGGTCAACGTCAAAACTGGTGGAAAACATTCAAACAGTCTTATTGCGTACATTGTTGTTATTGTGCATTATTGTTGAAATGTAGGGTTATCCAGATATTTATGTGTTTAAATGAAAACTGTGTTTTTACTCATTAAAATTAATGCGTGATCCATTGTTGGCGATCTCCAGGACCATTGCAGGACCACCGACCAGAACTGTGCCGTAGATGAAAATGGCCACAAAGCCCGACAACATGACGATAATCTGGAACACATCGGTCCAGATCACAGCTTTCATGCCACCCTGTTAGAGAGATTATGGAAGAGGCAGACAGGAAAACCCACCACATCATCAGCAAATTAAAGGCAGGACATACTATTGCTTATCCTGTTCCACTAGTTTCAGTGTTTACATAGCAGTACGGCCTGGGCATTTCACTTCACAGCTTAAATATTGTTATCTCAATAGAAACACGGTTGAAGTTATGTTTATAAAGACATAAAGTTACTCTAATAAAAGTAACCCTTTTGGGCATTTCCTTTGCAGTCTTGAACAACATGCAGTTGGATCAAGCTGCCAACACCAATCAAAATGAATGAATCAATACTCATATTAATAGACTCTGGTTTGATATTTTGGTTTGGTTTGGTTGTCTGCATGGTTTCCCAGAAGATCATTTTATTTATATATTTGTTAAAAAGTTTCAATTAAAGATGAATCGATATTAAGGATTAAGGATCAAGGAAATGTGTCTGTCATTATACAACACACGATTGTAGAATGAAATGAAAGTTTGCAGTCCCTTTATGCAACACACAGCAAAAGATACTGCGGATACAGTATACACACAGTGTGTGTAGACACAGTATATTTTAAAAGGATCTGACTACACCCTGCCAATGTGTATTTCTGTTGTTTAAGAGCACATAAGCGCTATGCAGGTTTGATGAGATGGAAAAAAATATTTCCTTACCAGTGTGGTGTACATGGTGCAAATGATGCCAGTAGAAAACAGAGACACCCACATGTTGAGTCCAGTAGCTGAAATTAAAAAGAAACAGGTGTTTTTGTTAATGTGTTAATATGGAATATCCCTTTAATTCAGAACCTTATTTCTAATCTAAACATGTCTGAAATACAATAGAAGAATGACAGTGCACCCAAACAGCACACGGGCTGAGAGGATTCATTGTACCATGTTTGAATAAAGAAGGCTATGAGGAAATCATGGCAATAATGAACTGATTGACTGCTAACTTCCCATACTACATAGTTTTTGTCATACTGCCTTTACAAGGATTTACAGCCCTTCCCTTTTTTTTAATGCTGTTATCTCCAGATTACAAGTTAATTATTTCATTATCTCCAGATGTATAATAGTAAATAAAATGTATATGTATGTATGTATAAAATGTATGATAGTAAATAGACAGATAACTTCTGTAGATCATATTTCCCCTAATACATTTATACGTGGTGATAAAGTTGTGTATTCACAGAGAAAGTTGTGTATTATTTGTGAGTGATGGACCAAATTTCCAAGTTTTGTGGGAGTTATAATTAAAATGTCAAATGAATAAAAACATCCCATTAATGCATACAGAAAGAGGGGATTCAGTTGAGCTTTCCTACCTTGGTTAAGGATCAAGGCAGGTGCATAGATGACAATCCCTGTGTAAAGCAGCTGAGCAAAACAAAACAACATCACTGGGTTAAAGAACATTTACAGGTCATTCTTGGTTTGTGCAAATTAAAGAGCTGCTTCCCTGGAGTTCCCGGAGTCTGAGTCTGAGCCAAAGCAAATATTTTCACGAGAAAAGAGCATCCTCTTTAAGAGCAATGAATATAACTTTTTCTTCAACAATGCAGATAGCACAGAACACAATGATGTCTGTCTTACCGTCGCCACAAGAAACTGGATACTCCCCAACAGCTGCATCCCTCTGCCAAATCTCATCTTCAGATACTGTGACAGGCAGACGGCTGCAGTTATAACACAGCAGAGTATCTCTGAACACATCCATCATCCTTCCTCACCTCTTATATTCAACATGTTTAATCACCCACAGGTGCATTTCAACATTGTGTCAGAGAAATCCTGACCTTATTTCTACCTTTGGTTAGAAATACATAACTCTTACTTTCAATGCTTAATTATATTAGTATTTTAATTTGTTTAAACGCTCAGATCAAAGCATTCTCTCTTACATAATTCTCTAAACAACCATCAAAAACTAAGAAAATGTTTGTGTTCCTTTGATAATTATTCTAGAATATATTATTTCTAAATAATACAACAAGTTATATGAACCTGGAATATATATTTAACTACTCGGAGCGGCAAATAGGGAGAAACAAGAAGATTCCCGGTGGGCTGTAGCCGATCATCCACAAGGGCTAGTGACAGGGTTGGTAAACACAATAATGTTAAAAATAGAGCATGTGGGCTACACTCACAGGGGCCCAGGAGGTTACGATTGGTCACCTGATTGGTCACCTGATTGATGATGTAATTAGGTTTGACCTTTGACTTAGGCAGCTTTGAGCAAAGCCCAGAGTGCCAAACTCAGCAACTTGTTCATGATTTAAACGAGGTACAGAACAAGCAGAAGTTCATGGTGACGATAAGACAAAAGAGGTATGCTAGCTTAGACTACAGTGCCAAGATGTTAGGTGTGCAAAACAAAATATATACTGATAGCGCTGCCTACAAACCACAATTCAAGTTTAGTGTCAAGGAATTGTGTGGCGGTACGTCATATAACATAAGCAATATGAAGAAGTCCTTGGTTTGATGCCAAATGGTAGGCAATGTTGCAATGCCACCAAACATCAGCCCATTAACTTTAAGGCACAGGTGAGCTGTTGTACCACAATATCACCACCATTTATACCCACTATATTAGTGACTACTCACTGTATATGAAGTGTATTTCAATTGAAAGGGAATAGGATGGAAATAATATGAAATAAGACTGCATGTTTGCAGTCTGCATGTGAAAAGTCTATGTTGTGAACTTAAGTGGGTTGGTTTGAGGCATGAAACTCCCAGGTTGAAAATGAGTCCCACTCCAGCCCGGGGTGTAGTAACTTGAAGCTCATTATGACCTGATTGGTACTGGTGATGCCCAGTCGAAAGAAAACTGGCAGGAAGAGGTAAGCTGTCAGCAGGGAGTTGATGCTTTGTCCGAGGCACATGTAGAGGAATTTAAAGCCATAGCGGGAAGCCTCAGAGGGAACACCCAGGACCTGGACTGCTGACATAAAACTGGCACAGAGAGACAGCCCAACAGGCACTGCCGGCATGCTCCGACCCCCAGTGAAGAAGTCATCAGCACTGGCCTCCCTCTGGCTCTTCTTCAGGGCCTGGAAGAGTCCGATGGCCATAGAGACGAACAACATCGCTGCAAAGACTGCGTAATCAGCCAGGACGAAGCCTGATATGGATGGTTCACTGGTGGGCTGCTCTTCCATTATTATACTTTAGTGTGGTGGATCCAGATGTTTGGTGGATCTGTAAGAGTGAATGAGAGTCAATTAGTGACCATACATTGTCTGATGGAGACACAAGGCACATTGTTAATGAATGCTGCAAATTTAAAAATGCATCATTGACACCGACCAGAGTAATTGACAGACTGAACAGCGGTGTAGCAGAAATAGCGAGCTTGTAGTCAGAGCTTATGAGCAGCTGCTGCCAGGCTCTCTCCTGTGTCTGTACTGGAATCAAAAAGCGTCCGCTGGAGATTTTACAATCACTCGAAGCACATTGACTAACGGCTGTGTTGTATCTGAGCTAATGGCTCAGAAAGACTAATTGTCCAGTATGTGCGGACTGTCAGTGTGTCAAATCAAGGTAAACATTACACTCCATTGATGCTTCTAAAGTAAAAGTCCAAATAACTGCACCAAAATAGAAAAATACAAAGTACGGTTCAGCAAAAAGTTAGCATAAACTACATTTGAAAATGAGTGCAGCAGTGTTTTTTGTGGAGATAATTGGCAAAGAGTGTTTTTTTTAATAAGTAAATTTATTTATCCTAAGTCGAGGGAATCCAACCTTATAATATTGTAAAAACCGTCTTGTTGCCTAAAACATATCACAGTTATGAAACATGTAACCAGCTCATAGCAAATAGCTAGGCTTGAGAAAAACTCCACACAGCGGGGTTAGTTGTAACACAGTGTGATAACAACTATGATAACAAACAACTAATTCTCGCAAGTTTGTTGTCGCAGAACGATCACTGCTTCACTACATTTGAGTACTTGACTGGAGATTTCACAATTATCCATTCATTCATTTTTGACTGGTGCTGTGTTGACTTGCTTGTTTTAGCATTTTGTCAGCCAAGATGATCGGCAGATTAAAGCCTTTTTTTTTTACATATTGTATGTTGACATGAACTTTGAATCAGTTACATTTTTCAGATTAACAATGTATATGTTGCTGCTGACCTATGCAGTTTTTTAATTACCTACCTTGGGGACAAAAATAAATGTGTCAATGTTTAACACAAAGTGTCTTTTATTATAAGACACTTTTATATATACACCTTTTATATTAGTGCAAATAGATAGATAGATAGTCTGACACTACTGCAAGGAGTTCGGAGTGAAGGTCAGAGTTTGTGTCTCCTACCCACAATCAAAGGAAACAATGCAATCAGTATATTGATTAATTAATTAATTCTTTCTTTAAACAAATCTTTCCACAGGATTAACAATGACCACAATCTTTCCCTAAACTTACCGCTGGTGTGTGTGTATCTTACCGTAACTGGACCTGCAGACAGATGCTCAAATGGGCTGTTGACAAATGCTGAATGTGTAGTTATAAAGAGTTATAGTGTGGTGTGGTAAACATCCCGTTTGCCTGGATTTCATATAGAATAGAATTATACATGGCATTTCTTTGTTTTGATATTGGCTTATTATATCGGCCATCGGCAGCCCTGCTTTCTAAATATGGGCATCAGCCATTGAAAAATCAGTCGACCTCTAGTGTTCAAATTTACTTTGGAAAAAAATTTAAATAATGCTCTAAGTCTGTGCTTCTACCACAATATCCTTGTACATGATTGTGAATAATATCTATCTGCATGACCTCTATAAATGTGTCTGATTCATAGTTGATTGGGATTCTGCAAAAGCCAGACAGACACAAACATAATTGTCCCTGAAGTATCCACTCACTCTGAAAGTTATCTGCTGCAGATGATTAATATTGCATCTTGTTTTTCAAATCAGAGAGTTGAATTAAAAGGTTAAAAAAAAAACTCACCAGTACTTGTCCATTCAGTTCTGCTTCAAGTCGGTGAAAGAGGAATGTGCTGACAGCCGTCTTCAGTCCTCAGCAGCTGCTTCACCTTCATAAAACTTCTTTAACCTGCGTGTGTGCGTGAGGCGTGTGTGCACGGTCAAAATTATCTTTCCTCCAGAAAAAAAAAAAAAACGCTCAGGTGAGTGTGGTGAGGGGATTCTAGTAGGAAGTTTACAGTGCGTGACCAAAAAGAAAAAGATAGTCAAGTGGCTGTTGAGGAATGTAGACCTGCTGGAGAATGAAAGTACTTTCTGCAGCACACAATCCCTGTGTGTGTGTGTGTGTGTGTGTGTGGTGGTGTGTTGTGTGTGTGTGATGTGTTGAGAGAGAGAGAGGGATAGGAGTGTAGTGTAGGTGTGTGTGTGTGTGGTGTGTGTGTCTGTGTGTGCGTCTGTGTGTGCGTCTGTGTGTTTGTTTATGTGCTTATGAAAGGTGAAGGTGGGGAAGAGTGGAGAATAAGGGAGTGATTATTACTCAGCAATAATCTGATTACTGAGTGTGTTAAAAGTGGGACGAGTCATGATTTTTGTCATGCATGGATGTAGTTTGTTTTTCATGATACAAACTCATTTCATATAAATTACAGGCAAAGAACAGATAATGTAAGCATCCTATATAAATCCAATACCAATATTTTAAAGTGATAACTAAATAATAAGTTACATCGGAATTATTTAAGATACTAGCAATAATACAGTCTAAAGGTAAATATATAATAATGACACAAGTAGCCTGCTATCAAATTAAAGTGGATTGCGAAACAGTAATAGAAATAAGGGACTATACAGCATGACATCATCATAATTCACCTTTTTTATAATGATGTATATATATATATATATTGACTTTTAATGAAATAACAGTGGTTTTAATACTGGGCATAGCTATAATATGTAAGAAAGGCTGGCATTAGTCCACAGTAGCTCCAGCACCTTGAAGCAATTTGAGTTTAATTTTCCAAGAGTACACCAGCAGGGAGAGAGTTCTTTTTTCAACTCCTTAGTCACTGATAAACTTTCCAATGAATTCCACTTCTATTGGTAAAATGTTTTGTCTGATTCCAGTTAAAATGCTGGGTCTTTCCTTCATCCAAGTTCTAATAAACTGCACCCGTGCTGCCAGATAATAGTTTTTAAAATCAAGGCGTACAGTGTTCTTATTACATATTACGCCTATAATCATTACTGTATGCAAGTCAAATATTTATGAATCTGCTGATTTATTTCTGTATTACTCAGTCTTTAAAATGTAAAAAAATAGTGGAAAATCAATTTCATATCAATAACTACAAATGCATTATTTTGTCTGACCAACAAAGTGCTCATGGATTTCGGTAATCCAACTTGGTTAAATCTTGCTAAGCTACACATTAATAGCTCAACAGTTTTTGCTCAAGGTTAAGCACCACCGTTAATTCAGTTGCACCGCTTAAAATAAGAAAAGTGAGACATTTTAAAAGCCCCATGGAGTACCTCATATGTTTGATCTGACCACACGGGCCAGCCTTGGCTCGCCACGTACATCAATGAGCTTTGACCGCCCATGACGGGAACTCCCCACATGTGCTATACTTTTAGAGATGCTCTGACCCAGCCGGCCATCACAGTTTGGCCCTTGCCAAAGTCGCTCACACATCAACTTGGCGACAAAATGTTCACTTGCTGCCAAATATATCCCACCCACTCACAGGTGCTATGATAACAAGATAATCAATGTTATTCACCTGTCAGTGGTTATAATGTTATGGCTGATCAGTGTACAACTTCACTTGAAAGAATCTGCACAGTGACTATTTGAATAGTGAATATTTTGATCCACTCCACTCTTCTCTCATCTGAATTGTGTCAGTCAACCTGGAGTTATAAAGTGAAACTACACCCTTGCCTGCAGGTCCTTTCATCTATATCATCCATGCAGATGACACACAACTCTGCATCTTAGCTTCACCTGATGATCTGAGCTTCGTCCACAGTCTTGTAAATTCCCTTTCAGAAATCACTAAATAGAGAAAACAAAGATTTTGGCTATTGAGGCATCAGCCAAAAGACATAACCTCATTTCACATTTTCTCTTAACACCACATCTGCGACTAAGAATCTGGGGGTACTTGGAATGCCAGCATAGTAGCTTGGCTAGTGCAACTGGGAATTCAGTCACAGCTACCGGTTACGCTGAAGCCAGTTAATGTGAATATTTGAAGGACCTTTATGAACAAATCAGTACAGAGCTCAACAGAAATATTCTAAAAAATATCTTTTTATGTGAATTTTATCCACCAGGTCTGAAAATCAAGTCTGACTGACAGCCACATCCTCAATGAATTTGAAACAACACACTGAGTTGAAGCATCTGACCAGTCTTGGGAAATATATGTGAGTGAATCACAAAAATTTCTTGACAAAAGATAAAACCACAGGCCAACAGCAGCAGAGTTGCTCCACCCAAGAAATGGTTACCAACAACAACTACATCGTAGGAGATCATGGTCAAAAGCCATTGTTCATTAGAGTAGTTCCTGGTTGACAGTCATCCAGGATGTATGTTTGAGAAGGCAGATACAGACAACCTCTCATTCCCAACTCGTCGAATGGGTTGGTACAGACACTGTTGAACAAGGAAATTAAAACAGAAGAAATGAACAAGAAGTAGCTCCTTTTTTGAGAGTGTGACCTAAGTTCAAAGTTCAGAATTGTGAACTATGCATGCTAGTTCATTTTAATATATGACTTTAATCTCACACTTATCTGTGAGTTTGAATTTGCACAACACTAATCTGATCTTGTGTCCTTCCATTTTTCACTTTACTTTTTACTTACTTTCTAAACCTGTTTGCTCCATAGATACAAAAGGAATAGTTCAACATTTTGGGAAATACCCTTACTTGCTTTATAGCAGACAGATGAGAAGATAGGTACTACTCCCATATTAGTCCCATAAGGCTACAGCCAGCAGCCAGTTAGCTTAGTTTAGAGACTTTTAGTTTAGAGAAAGACTGCAAGTAGGGAGGAAGAGTTAATCTGTAAAAAAAACAAATGTAAGAAGTACAATAGGCCATTTTTAGGGTTATGTACTGGAGTACAGACCATAAGGTATAACACATGCATTGCTGCGTCACTGTCCACACCCATCATGACATAACACAATTGGAAGTGCAAGCAGTCACTAGATCAAATAAAGTAAATCATAAAACTGAAAAAAAGTAAAATCCACAAAACAAGACTATAAAAGTACATTTTCTGAAATAAAGGTTAAAGATCATACAGTATACACATAAGCTATTTTATCTGTTGGCTAATTAAATCAAAGATATCAGACTTCAGTCCAAAATCTTCAACCTGATTGCTGATGTAGTTTTTAAGAAGTGATTTAAATTATGAAACTGATTTTCTTGGCCTGAATGCCTCTATGAGAATTATTTAAAGCTCTGAGTCTTTGACTGTAAAACCTCCATTATCTTTGGTCTTTATTCTGGACCTTGAAACAACCACAAGTATACTGTTATGAGAGATCTTACAGGTTCTGTTACATAAGGTCAAAGTGGAGGGGTGTTAAATCTTAAAATCAATGAAAGTTTAACCAAAAAGAAACCAGCATAGAGAGGTAAAAACTGACAATATGATTCATATTGAATACACTTGTGGAATTAACTAATTAATTAGTCAGTCATTTTAACTCGTGGTGGTGACAGAGGATTAAAAGTTGCTTTTTCCAGAACCTTTTATATGGATATCGGACACCTGAAGGATATTTTCAAGCATGTAGATGTCATGGTATAGTGGGGTCTTTTCTGCCTTTGATTTAATACAGAAAAACATTAAGAATTCATGACCATAAAAACTAAGATGACCTTCACAGCAAGTAAAAGGAAAGGAAAAATGTGAATTCCAAACAGATCTAACAGGCTGCCAATGAAAAGAAAGTAAACTCAGATTGTTGTGACCTTCCCACGGCTGGCTGTTACAAACAAAGGGATTTGTTATGTGAGGTAATGTGAGGTCAAACATTGTTCAAATAATAAATCCTCAACAATCCTACTTCCTGAGATGCCTAAAGGGCTGTTAGGCTTCACTTCCCCCTTCTTTCTGACAGACACACTGTGTGTTTATTCAAAGCTAATCTGACCTACAGTAAAAGTTAAACTTAGATAGATTCCAGTTGTGATGTATTTTCATGGTAGAAAAAAAAGAAGAAACATCTCAAACTACTCCAATTATCCAATAATTAACTCCTGCATGGTCCATCAGTATGCTCAATGCCTTAGAATCATATTTTTACCAAAACACACCTAAATGTTCTTCTTCTGTGTTGTGTTATCATGCTCATCATTGATCTAAATCTCAGCCGGAATTTTAGTCAATTATAACTAAACATTTTCTCAGCGTACCAATAGACAGAGGAAAAGTGGGTTAAAAAAAGGTTTATATGGAAGTTGGGTTTAGTTTGTGATATAAGAAAAACTGTAGATGTATCATTTAAATATGTTTACCAAAACTATTATTGAATGTGTTCCTTGAAGATATACAAATACAGAAAAATAAAAACATAATCACAAGAAATGGGACAAAAGCCTAGAATAACATGGATAAGAAATATCTGTAATTAAACGAACATGTATCAAACATTAAAATGTAGCATAAACTATGTGGTTTTCTGACAGGAAGTTGCGACAGCCCTCACTGCTGAAAAGGGGAACCGCAGTTGTCAGCTGGTTTCTCTTTTCCTGTAATGTCAGGCAAGGTTCTGCGCACAACTGCATTTGCTATCACTATTTAGTAGGAAGACTTTCTTTCATTTTGACTGTGCTTGCTGCCTTATATGTTTTAACAAAGCTTATGCCTATACTACTTTAACTTGCTGTCTCTGTTCACTGGCTTTAAACAAGGACTCATAAGATTGTAGAACAGTATTTTTTGGACTCCTGCACATGATAGAAGTGTGTGTGTTTTGCACACTGATTTCTCCCCCAAATTCCCATCAAGAAGTCGATGAAGATTTCATTCTTAACCAACCTGTCATTCAAAATGAAACCTCCACCTAAAGCTTCACCAGTAGCCCATGGTGGCTGTGACGTCCAAGCTTTCTTGTAATGGGGTTAAAATCAAAAGGTTTTTTCTGAGGGTAGAGTTGAAGGAAAGGTCATTCAAATGGAATAAGTTTATGCATATAAGGGTTTTGCTAATTTAATGTCAATCTTAAAGAAGTTTATGAGATATGTAAATATGATTATGATGATCTTGCTGATATTTTATTGTACAGGAAAACAAATACCTAACATTAAAAAGGTTCAACCACCACATAAATGTTGGTCAGTAAATTTCATGGCATGACTGAATGTGGTTAAGAAAACATTAAAAAATCATCCTCTGGTCGTCATAAACATCTACAGCAAAATACAGGTATATTTGGCTTTTTAAAGATTTTAATGGACCACAGTTAGACTTTTAACAGAGTTCTTCACATAATTGAGGCACAAAAGGCATTAAAACCATAAATACCAATACATAATTCCATCTCATCAGCTTTTGTTGACATATCTTCCAGCCTCTCATAGAGCTGCTGCTAACAAGGCAAAAACCTGCTTCATCCAGAATTTGAAGGAATTCATTTTAACACATTTTTTAGCATCTTCCATATCACATTCTCTCAAAACTGATGTGTAGCATTTTGTAATAAATGAAGCTCTTTATTTAATCAACAGACATGTGGGAACAATGGCAAAATATACACCCTGATGTTTAGAACCCAATTATTCTGAGAAGTGGTGTATTTTGTTAAATATTTTGAATGTATTTGTAACTGTGTCATCAGTCAGTGGGATGAATACAGATATGACAAGAAACTGTCGTTTGTGTGGCATATGCTTGTCTAAATCAGGAAATCCTATTGAACTTCCTGTCAACACACACACACAACGTAAACGCAGATGGTAAAAGAAGAAAGTCCTCATTTACATGAACAAATGATCGAGATATGGACTTCTGCCGTACAAATGTAAAGGTAACACGGCAATGAATTCCTTCGATAACATGTAATATTCATCTTTAGCTCTGAAATCTGTAAGTGTAAAGCTCTTGTGCTGTTTTAAGAAATACCGGAGTTTAGTTTCTATCGACAAGACCCACAATGCAAATTAAATAAATGTGCTCCTTCTGTAGATACCTTTTCAACTTCTATTCATCTTTTACTGGCTGTGACAACGATTTGATGTTCACCAACTATTTTATAAAGCTGTACATTGTAATAGATTATAATGATAATTCTTATTTAAATTGTGTTTATGTTAATAATCATTTGCAAAGTAAAAAGTATGTATTGTTATGAAAGTAAATAAAGTTTTTGTGTAAACAATTTGGAACGATGTATGTATTTATGTATCAATTATGTATCTTATGTACTGTGTTGCTTATTCAGCTACAGCCGAACATGGTGAGAAGTTTCCTCTGATACTGGGAATCCCCACGAATCTACATTTGACATTTCAAAACATCATTCAGAGTGAAGGTAGGAATTTTTCTCACATGTGATAACACACAAACTTTAGCATATAAATAAACAAAGTTTTATACTTAAATGATATGACATTTATACACATGTAAATGTTATAATATGTGCCATAATAGTAATAATCTGAGTTTGTGCTGAGATGAATGGAATTTCTTTGGCTTGCTGGTAAAGTTTTGGTGGGAAGAATTACTCTGAATCACTTGTCCTTATCTTAGTAACTGCAAGTGGTTGTGCAACAAAAACTACATGAATTTGTATCAGTTCAGCAAACCTGCCATGGTTAGATAATGATTAAATGAATCCCTGTGCACAGCTTTAGGTTTTTCTAGTTGAAATTATTCTAATGACTATAATTGACTTTTTTATTGCCAACTTCTTACAGAGAGTAATTTGGGATATTTTAGAGAGAATGTGTTTTTAGTATATTTAATATGAAGACAAAGGAAAATGAGCTACAGAGGTCCAAAGGTGATTTTCCAAATGCAACTTTAACAAACTACAATCCAAATATTTGTTTATTTTCCTGAACTTTTGGATTTTTTAATTAAAATTAGGCAATGGATCAAGAAGCATTACCATAAAATAGATATTTTTCAAGATAATCCAACAACTTAATTTGCATTTCAAACCGGTTTCCAAATCAGTTTCCTGTCTGAAAATAAGTCTGCTGATTTGGTCCTCAGAAGTACCCATGGATCTCAGTGAGGAGGAGTTGGCCCCTCTGGTGATCAGAGACCGAGGAGGTAGCCAGAGGTCCAGTTCTAGCACTGGTCCCAGTTTACAAGTACACCTCTACTTCTTCCCAACCACAAAGGAAGCAACAACAATACATATATCATCTGGCCAAATCTCTGCTGAAAATGTCTGCATCCAAGCAGGCATAAAATGTGGTAAGATCAAGTTGTGAGTCTGACTAAATGCTTCTCAGGACTAATACCAAAGTTTGTGTGTAAAATAAACTGCGTCATATTACATCTTAATACATCTCAGAACTGTTGGGTAGGCCATTATAACATCAGCTGGTCATTCATGCTAAGATGATATATGTGATCTCTTTCTTCAGGAATCTTACCAGTGTACCAAAGTCTTTTTGGTTTGGCATCTGCCGATCTTTCATTTTGGTATCCTCCATCACACATGTTCAACACAGAAGAAAACTTACAAGTACACTTTAGAGTGAGGTAGGTGAAAAATAACAGAAGAATCATTTATGTAATAGTGTGGTTTAGGAATAGGATGTGACTAGCTAACCTGTAAATAATAAAAACAGCTAGACACAAATAATGAAAGTTCAGAGATAATAATAGCTTTAGCTGTGCTACTTGAAGTCATGTGAATTATCCAATTTTTTGGAAGACCATGATTTTGTTACTAAATGATCATGTTCAAACCAGCAGAGTAGAGAAGTTAATTTAGTAGTTTATAATAATAATGGTCTTATTTGGGTTATGCAGGTTTTTCTTTGGAAACTGGTTTGGACAAGGGCCGAGAACATCGTACCGCTACAGTCTGACCCAAGACAGAATGAGTCCAGTGCTTGACTACAGTGCTATTGATTACCTTTTTGCTCAGGTAAAGTATAAGATATTTCAAAAAATGTAATTTATAGACTCACTGAGATATGTAATTTCAGGGTATATTATTATTTAAATTTAGTGGTTCAAAACATCTCCTAAAAGAATGATCACGTTAATTAACTACCAAAAGGTCTGAAATGTAAATTATGTTTTAACTCATCCCATCTACATAGTTATCCTTACCAGTAAACATTCTCAATGTTTTCTAGTAGTTATCCAAAATTCTGTGTGTTTCTTGTTTTGAATATGGTGTCAGACAGTTAAAAGCCAGAAATAGTCACATGCATTGTCAATATATTAAAGACTGTCCATCAATGACTTCTTTTGGTTCATAGTTGCGAAGCGACTTTATTGCCAGTGAAGCAGGAGTGTCTCCACCTTTGAGTGCCCAAGAGGAGTGCCTCGGCCTTGCAGTGCTGGACTTGTGGAGAATGGCTAAAGAGCGCCATCAGAGTGTAAGAGAGCTCTGCAAGACTGTCAGGTATTTACATTTAGATAAGGTTTTATTTTGCCCAAACTGTACCTCAGCAGTTAAAATTTAAAGAACCTATAACTTTGTAGAATTAGGTTTTCTCTTTTAGAAATAGAATGATGTTCTTAACTCAATTTCAAATTATTTATTATATTAGCTGTAGTTTGCAGTCATTACAATCAATTTTATACTCTTCCTCTTTCAGCTACAAATCGTGCCTTCCTAAGTCACATCGCCATGAAATCCAGAAACGAAACCGCCTGGATCGTTATCGCATACGAAACACCCTCAAGCGTTTCTTAAAGAAGCTTGGCAACTGCTCAGTAGATGAGTACAGCTTGAAGCTCAAATACCTGATTGAACTGGCTGGCATTGAACCTTCACTAGGAAGCGAAACCTTCCAAGTGAATTCTTCTTCCTCCCATTTGAAGGCAACTTTCTCCCTTGTGCGGGTCACTGGGGAAACTGGAATTCAAACCAGTGGAAGTTGTCATCCTGATGGTGCTGAGGTGAGAACAAGCTTAACTCACATTTGTGTGACAGTGAGGCATAGTGGTTAGTTCTTTCATTCCACCAGACGAAAGCCCTGCTACTTTCAGCAACAATCTGCCTGGCCATGCTTCTTTCTGCTGCTGGAAAGTACTGTCTACCAAACCAAAGGTTTCTCCCATCCTACCAGATCTTTCACTAAGAATCCAGTAGCCCCAGCTCACGTAATGACACAGGCCTGCAGTATTTTCCTTGTCAACTGCATTGATTTGTTTTGTGATAAGGTCTTGATTAGTTAGATCTAGATCACTTTGTCAAAACTCTTTGAGCCTTCCATTTTTTACTTAGCTCCATATTCAAAATATATCCCTACATGCTCCAGTGGTTATAATCCACATCCCTGAGTTTAGAGATGTTCTTGAATCTTTTCTTCTTCTTCTTCTTCTTCTTCTTCTTCTTCTTTTGTAGTGGCAGACCTTCTGTGATTTTAAAGAAATCATCGACATCAGTATAAAAAGGTTAAGCCATGAGCAGGTTCTTCAAGACAGCAGGATGGTAACCATAACCCGCAAAGATGACATTTGCTTGGTAAGGGACATATATCTTACAATCAACACTTGCCAAATCATTATTTATACATTTATTGACAATGTATTTATTTCAGATTTTACTGGTTTTATTTAATGCACCATATGCATCTTTATTTATCCTTGATTTGCACTACAGGAAGCCAAGTTTCAGAGTCTCAAGGAAGCACTTTCATTTGTGTCACTTGTTGACGGCTACTTCAGACTGACCACAGACTCTAGCCACTACTTCATTCAAGACATTGCTCCTCCAAGTCTTCTGGAGGGGTTAAAAAACCATTGTCATGGCCCAATCATGTAAGACATTTATATAAATACTGAATTTAATACCACCATTCACATGCACCTGTTTTAGATATTTCCTTCATATCTTGTTTTATCAGATCAGAGTTTGCAGTGAACAAGCTGAAAAAGTCAGGATTTAAAGGTGGTACGTTCCTTCTGCGACAAAGTCCCAAGAACTATGATAACTTCTTCCTCACTGTTTGTGTTCAGGTAAAAGTTCTTGTTGAAGAAACATAGTAGACATTGAAAAAGACGGATTTAGAATTTACTTGGAAGAGTAGTAAAAATATGCCTTTTAATTGTTTTAGCCTATGACAAGCCTAATAGTGTTGCAGTGATGTGTAAATTTAAAAAGATTATGATTGTAAGCACTGTTTCTGGAAATCATAGGTAGTCTTAGTCTGTTGCAATCATTAAAGTTTAACTGATGAGATTGTACTGTATCTGAACAGAACATAACTTGTGAGCGAAGTGTCTGCATACTCAAATGTGTGCAAAAGTCATTCCCATGTCACTTACATTTATGCACTCACAACCTTTGAACAGAAGCTATTTTCTGAATCTACTTTTTAAAGATAAACTCAAGGTTTTTATTACAGCCTCTTCAGTGTTGTTTCCATGTACAATTTATATTTCTGCAGACTCCACTTGGACTTGATTATAAAGACTGTCTCATTATCAAGAATGAGCAGTACAGTCTTCCTGGTGTCCAGAAATTATTTTCCAGTTTGAAAGCACTCACCAGCCATTACCAACACAACAAGCTGCTACTGGCTGAAGTACCTGTCATGTTGGACCACTGCTGTCCACCCCGACCCAAAGGTATATATGCTGAAGTACTATTATTATTCTGAATAGCATCAAAGACACAGAAAGACTCTTTACTAGGATATATGAACTTACTGTCTCTCACTAATAATAATGTATCAATAATGTATTTATAATACCTCAATTTCTAGCTTGAACTGAGATATGTGCCTTCATATTTGCAACTTTCATAGGTATTATGACAATAAGCATGTTTTTTGCTGTTCCTACAGAGCTCACAAATATGATCATCATACGCAACATCAGCTCTGTAGAAGCTCAAGGGTCCCCAACACCTGAAAGGAACAAATTCAGTCATATCCAGTTCCACATGATCAAATATGGAGACCTGGAATGGGTGAGTGTGTAGTCATAATACCAACTGTACCAGGACAGTTACTATAGTACCGCTAATATCAATACTATAGTATTGATATAAGTGGTCTTTATTAATAGTATTATTCTACCTTTTGGTATTAACATTATTTTACTACTCCCCTTCCAGTTCTTCTACTGCTGTATTACCCCTGTTGCTCCAGCCAATCCAACCATCATTATAACTACTATTATGCAAGAAATACTGTGATACTGTAGTAAAACTAATACGAAAGGTACTTAAAATGTTATTTATGGATGGATAAAACTTTAACGTAGCTTTGTATGTATTTTCCCATAAGGGTGAAAGCCTTGGAAAGGGATCCTTCACTCTTATTTTCAAAGGCTACAAAAAAGACATCCATGATGGGGAGAAACACGTCACAGAAGTGTTCCTGAAAGAGCTTAATGTTGTTCACAAAAACTGCTGGGAGGTGGGTTTATTCAGATTTATGGATTGTTCATCCAGATTCCACAGTAAGTTTTACATTGTACACATTGTTTTACAATATTCTTGTGTTGTTTTCTTGTCTTTTCCTTATCTCAGTCATTTTTTGAAGCTGCCAGCTTGATGAGTCAGATTTCACACAAACACCTACTCCATGTATATGGCGTCAGTGTTCATGGTGTAAAAAGTAAGTTAAAGCCAAACTGTCTTGTGATTGTAAGCACTGTTTCTGGAAATCATAGGCCTCAGTCTATTGCAACCACTGAAGTTTAACTCTATGCAGATGAGACTGTACTTGTTTTTCTAAACATTGATTTTTGTTTTCTTATCAGCTTCATAACGCTAATATGCTTTATGTTTTTTAGATGTGTTAATGTCCTGTTAAATAAATATTTGTGATTATTCTGAGATTATTTTGTACAAGGGGAAGTTGAAATCAGATTGCATTTGGTTAACTTTTGCTCAATTAAAATGCATTTACAGCCGGGGGAGTGGCCTCAACCCCAGATGTTTTCTTAAAAGCCCCTAATCTTTTAGGTTTATATAACTTCAATTTTGTGTAATTTCCACTCAATCTCTCTGACTTGACCGTGACATCAATTGAGCAAAAGTTCTATTACTGGGGAAATATCACTATCTATTACAGAATTATGATACAGATTCACATTTAGGAGATTCATCAACAATCATTCTGTGAACTCCAGCGTAGGTTAAAAAAGAATATGTTTCACAATTCATGATGATGACAGTTGGACAACAATTAGAAACAAATTAGGATGTAGGCTCTTCAAGATTTTTTCTTTCTTGGATAACTATCAAGTAATGTACAGATTTTTTAGAATTCTATTATCTCAACTGGCTTGAAAAATATTGCATTCACCTGACGTAAATGGGAAAGAAATCCCCCCAGAGGAGCATGCCCCCCTAGGTTTTTTTTTTCAGGCTCTGTTCCTGTAAAATTCTGTGTATCTCCAAACAACAACAAATACAATTAATTGAATGAAGGAATTAATGAATCAGTGAATTAATGAATGGAAACATTTAATCATTCCCTTCATATTGAGCAAAATAACTATTCACATTAAATCCTTATGTGACCCAACTCAGTCCCTTGTCTGTGGGTGAGTATTTCTGACTCTGTTTGGTTTGAAGTTCAGCTGTAGAAACAAACCTCGCTGTGCCTTACAGACATCATGGTGCAGGAGTTCGTTGAGTATGGCGCCCTTGACCTTTACTTGAAGAGAGGAAGATCTGTGTCAGTGAGCTGGAAACTTGACGTAGCCAAACAGCTTGCGTCTGTCCTAAACTTTCTGGTAAGATAAACTTTCTGAAGGAGAGCATTACCAGATCTTACAAAATAATGACAAAAACACAATCAACAGCAAGATTAGCTAGTTAAACGTCATTCACTTTAAATATCAAATGTATGTTTCCTCTGTGTGTGTGTGCATGATATAAAACAAAAAAATGTCAATTAAATTGCAATTTTTATGTCCAATAAAAGTGGTTGTTGGATTGTAGAGGTCCTTGATAAAAAAAAAATAATAATAATTTATGTTGTCTACTTAGTTTGGGTCTGGAAAATTTGACCAGTGCAGCACATTATGAGTCAACATTGATGTGTAACTGTTTTGTAGGAAGAGAAGAACATTGTTCATGGAAATATATGTGCCAAAAATCTGCTGCTGGCCAGAGAAGGTGACCCGTCTCAGGGCAGCTCTCCTTTCATCAAGCTGAGTGACCCGGGCATCAGTGTGGCCATGCTGGGCAAGAATGGTAAATTAAGAAGGCGTTTCAAATCCCCCATGTCCAACATCGTCAGGTCCATTTATTGTAATGTGTATAATATTCAGGAGAGAAAAGGAAAGATATTTAATGAATGATGTTGCACTGTGGCTACAGATCAATCCAGTAGAGTCTCAGATAAGAGTGAATAGACTGAAATAATACAAGAAAGAGATGAATAGATAACCAAGTGTAGTATATCAACTTGCCTACAGTTTACCACATACATATACAGTATACAGTATGTTGATTTAGAATAAGACTTTACAACATAAAATTAACGCATTTCGAAACATGATACCTAGTCTTTGCGCATTAGGTGTGAATATGGATGCCTGTGTGTTGCTTAAGTCATCCTAGACAGGATCCCCTGGGTGGCCCCTGAGGTGCTGGAGGCTCCAGACAACCTGACGCTGGAGTGTGATAAGTGGAGCTTTGGTGCTACTGTGTGGGAGATCTTCAACAGTGGGATCAATTTGCTGCAAGGCTGGGATTTAGATCAGGTACTTCCACTTCTTCTCTGATAAGTTAAAGGAAAGGAAAATGCATTGGAGGTGTTAAGTGCTTGTGGGATCAAACCTGTGGAAAAGAAATCAAACACGGTGTTGCTAGCTATAAAAGTGTCAATAAATCTGCAGTTAAGATGCATGAACAGATATTATAAAATAAAATACATACTGTAGTTCAATAATGTAAAATGATCTCACTAAAAGATACTAGAAACTAAGATTACTATAAACAGGAGAAGGCACGCAATCAACATTTTACATTAATGACAATGTGCAGGAAAATAAAATCAAGATTATAGTAAAGCCTTGGTACAGTGAATGACGTGAGCTTTTGATGTGCTTTCTGTAGAAGCGGAAGTTTTATGAGAGCGCCCAGCAGCTGCCTCCGTCCCCGTGGACTGAGCTCGCTGATCTGATCAGTCAGTGTATGGACTACCAGGCAGCCTTCAGACCTTCCTGTCGCAGTATTATCCGTCAGCTCAACAGTCTGATCACTTCAGGTAATCATATTTGTCACTACTCACTACTGCTTTGTAGTATGTTATCACCACTTCATAAACCTTATTGTAAGTTGCATGATTACCGACATTTATTAAGAGTTTCATAAAGCCACATAAATGCATTATAATGTCTTACAAATGTGCCTATAATAAATTATAGACGTGACCTTCATAAAAAGTGATACTTTTGTTTAGGATTTCAATGTCAAAGTGGTTTGCTCTAAAATTGACTTCCCACAATTTGCACAAACTAATTTGGCCCTCTGTTTTTTGTTTGAGTCTTTCTAAAAATGGGGAGCATTTTTGGAATCAGGCTATTCAATTACATCAGAAAACAAAAGCTATTACTGACAAGTTTTCTTGTTTCATGGCAGACTATGTGATACTACATGCCACTGAGCCCGTAACACAGAGCCCTGTGCTGAGGGCCCTCAGCCCCGCTCAACCAGACCAAGCATTGTTTGAGGAGAGACACCTGCGCTACATCTCCCTACTGGGAAAAGTAAGTCTGCACTCAATACTCAACAGACAACATGTACATAATGCTGCCCCCCTTGGGCCACTCAGTGCACTTTAATGAAGAGTTTTGTCTGAGATACAGTGCTAGGTCGTTGTTTGTATGCCCATGGTGTATAGAAAATTATAATTATTATATAATAAGCCACCATGTAGCACTGACTCACATTAACTATCATTAAGAGTTAATTACCGGTGTCCAAGACATTGTGTTTATGGACAAACTGATGAATGAACAAACCAGAACAGATTAATATTGTGTAGCAAAAACAGCACAGCATATTAACTAAAGCTACTGTCTGTGCCTTATATGATATATCTTATTTTATGATAAGCTGTCTCTTTGCACAACAAACCATGCTTTTTACCTTCTAAATGGCTCACATAATCTAGTGTTCCATGCAATGACATGTTGATGGTATGGTTAGGTATATTTTTCACTTTTGGGTGTGCCGACAACTAAGTGACTCAAAACCAGTGTTGGGCAGTAACTCATTACTAGTCATAATATTACAGTAACATTGCTTTCCCCAGTAACTAGTGGTGTCAATAATTACTAATACATTTCAGTAATAATATTACAGTTACGGTCACCATAAAATAATTAGTTACATTACATTTGTCATCACGCCCATACTGATTTAAAATTTAACAGTCCAATCATATCCCTGGACAGTGGTGTGCACGGGGGGGGGGCGGTCGCCAAAACGCGCGCTAAACTGCCCTCAAGTGCCCCCTTGGGAGCCAAAACAGGGGGCCAGAAACTCGTCTAATACGTGGTCCTATTGGGGAGGCAGAGAAAGCGGTGTTGGCTAAAGTGGGCCTCCTTGTTTGGCAAA